ATGTGACCACGTAGTTATATTTGTACACTTCTGTTTCTACAGGGTACAAAGCGAGAGGAACTGCCAACCCTGGCAATAATGATGGAAGATCGAAATTCCCTGAGAAGAGAAAACGGTCTTCAGAAGGAGGTGTAGTATTGTCTTGTGGTTTGGTAGAGAGACTAAGTATTTTTAGCATAGGAAGTCTGCGTTTATTTTAAAGCTTGTAACTTTAATATTTTGGAGTTCTTTTTTCCCCTTAAGTATCCATTTTGAATCATTGTTTACCCATTTCAGACTATGTGACTTCATAGTTCTAAGAAAGTGTATTAAATGGAAACAAAATATGTTGTTTGTACACTTTTGTACAAAGTAAAAGTAACTGCCAACAGTAACATTGGCAGGAATGATGGAAGATCAAAACCTTCTGAGAAGAGAAAACGGTCTTTAGAAGGTGTAGTATTGTCTTAGGAAGTGTGTGTTTATTTTGAAGCATGTAACTTGAATATTTTCGAATTATTTTTTTCCCGTAAGTATCCATTTTGAATCATTGTTTACCCATTTCACACTATGTGACCACGTAGTTATATTTGTACACTTCTGTTTCTACAGGGTACAAAGGAAGAGAAACTGCCAACCCTGGCAAAAGGCATAAAAAATCAAAAGCCCCTGAAAAGAGAAAACGGTCCTCTGAAGGAGGTGTAGCATTGTCTTTTGGTTTGGTAGAGATTCTAAGTATTTTTAGCGTAGGAAGTGTGTGTTCATTTTAAAGCTTGTAACTTTAATACTTTGGAATTCTTTTTACCTTAAAGTGCACCTAAACCCAAAATTTTTTTTTCGCTTAACGAAATAAGCTTATTTTTTGGAGTATTTCTGTGCAAAATTTTTTTAATTTGCTCAAATCTTTAATCTTCTATGCCCAGTCAAAATACGGAAAATCGGCCGCCATCTTGCCCCACGACCGAGTTTAAAGAAGAATGGCTCTAGCGGGTAATGTGCCGTCAAATCGAGAACGCGAAAGTCTGCATCTCACACATTTTCACTTGTTTGGGAAGATTGTCGTCGATATTGTCCGAAATATGCCGACTAGGTGTGTTGTATGAAGAATGTATGAAGCGCGATACCCTCTTGCAAATTTCGCACGTTGCTACATCCTTCTACAACACACTTAGTCGGCATATTTTCGGACAATTATCGACTACAACCTTCCCAAACAAGTGAAAATGTGTGAAATGCAGACTTTCGTGTTCTCGATTTGACGTCACATTACCCACTAGAGCCATTCCTCTTTAAACTCGGTCGTGGGGCAAGATGGCGGCCGATTTTCCGTATTTTGACTGGGCATAGAAAATTAAAGATTTGAGCAAATTAAAAAATTTTTGCACAGAAATACTCCAAAAAATAAGCTTATTTCGTTAAGCGAAAAAAAAATTTTGGGTTTAGGTGCACTTTAAGGTNTTGTCTTAGGAAGTGTGTGTTTATTTTGAAGCATGTAACTTGAATATTTTCGAATTATTTTTTTCCCGTAAGTATCCATTTTGAATCATTGTTTACCCATTTCACACTATGTGACCACGTAGTTATATTTGTACACTTCTGTTTCTACAGGGTACAAAGGAAGAGAAACTGCCAACCCTGGCAAAAGGCATAAAAAATCAAAAGCCCCTGAAAAGAGAAAACGGTCCTCTGAAGGAGGTGTAGCATTGTCTTTTGGTTTGGTAGAGATTCTAAGTATTTTTAGCGTAGGAAGTGTGTGTTCATTTTAAAGCTTGTAACTTTAATACTTTGGAATTCTTTTTACCTTAAAGTGCACCTAAACCCAAAATTTTTTTTTCGCTTAACGAAATAAGCTTATTTTTTGGAGTATTTCTGTGCAAAAATTTTTTAATTTGCTCAAATCTTTAATTTTCTATGCCCAGTCAAAATACGGAAAATCGGCCGCCATCTTGCCCCACGACCGAGTTTAAAGAAGAATGGCTCTAGCGGGTAATGTGACGTCAAATCGAGAACACGAAAGTCTGCATCTCACACATTTTCACTTGTTTGGGAAGATTGTCGTCGATATTGTCCGAAATATGCCGACTAGGTGTGTTGTATGAAGAATGTATGAAGCGCGATACCCTCTTGCAAATTTCGCACGTTGCTGCATCCTTCTACAACACACTTAGTCGGCATATTTTCGGACAATTATCGACTACAACCTTCCCAAACAAGTGAAAATGTGTGAAATGCAGACTCTCGTGTTCTCCATTTGACGTCACATTACTCACTAGAGCCATTCCTCTTTAAACTCGGTCGTGGGGCAAGATGGCGGCCGATTTTCCGTATTTTAACTGGGCCTAGAAAATTGAAGAATTGAGCAAATAAAAAAATTTTTGCGCAGAAATACTCAAAATAATAAGCTTACTTCGTTAAGCGAAAAAAATTTTTTGGGTGTAGGTGCACTTTAAGTATCCATTTTGAATCATTGTTTACCCATTTCACACTTTATGACCACATAGTTATATTTGTACACTTTTGTTTCTACAGGGTACAAAGCAAAGGGAATTGCTAACCCTGGCAATAATGGAAGATCAAAATCCCCTGAGAAAAGAAAACGGTCTTTAGAAGGTGTAGTATTGTCTTGTGGTTTGGTAGAGATACTAAGTATCTATTTTGAATCATTGTTTACCCATTTCACACTATGTGACCACGTAGTTATATTTGTACACTTCTGTTTCTACAGGGTACAAAGGAAGAGAAACTGCCAACCCTGGCAAAAGGCATAAAAAATCAAAAGCCCCTGAAAAGAGAAAACGGTCCTCTGAAGGAGGTGTAGCATTGTCTTTTGGTTTGGTAGAGATTCTAAGTATTTTTAGCGTAGGAAGTGTGTGTTCATTTTAAAGCTTGTAACTCACGCGATCCTAAAAGAAAGCTTTTGACCTCAGTACAGGAACGTTGCAACCGTGACGTCACAGGAAAGATGGCGCAATTGAAGATGGCGAAAGTGTTATACTATAAAACTTGTTCATTGCAGATAAAGAAAACTTTAAAGAAAGAATGTCCCAAACAAAAATATCTGCAAAGTGGGTGATTTGAACAGTCTTAATTTATTTCAGTGAAATAAGTCATGTTTCCTTGTTTTCGAATTTATTTTATTTTAATGATGGCAAAATATTGTCAAGGAAACTGTTTGATTGTTTTTAATTTTTAAGAAGGGTTGTCATTCATCTTGGTGTTTGTTCAACTAACCATTTGGTGAAGAAATTGTGTGGAGCATATATTGTTTCCCGTGACCGGTATTATTCATGCCAACATTAAAAACGTTTAACTAATAATGTCATGCTATTTTCTTGACTTATTTATAGACACCTTAGAACTTAAGAGGTATGAAAGAAGACGTGATTCACGTGGAAAGTGTATCATTGTTAACAATTATGATTTTGGTCATTACGCTTCGTACCGCGATGGAGCAAAACATGATGAACATGGGCTTAGAAACCTATTTGAAGAACACCATTATACTGTGAAGATAAAAAGAAACCTTAGCAAAAAGAGAATGGAGAGGTTAGCTAAGGAGGTTGCATTTGAAGACCACAAGAACTGTGATGCTCTCTTCTTCATCATTATGTCCCATGGGAGCGATGATGATACCATTCTTGGTGTGGATGGTAAATTGATCAGTATTCAAGCATTGATGTCACGATTTAAACCTAACGAATGCCCATCACTTAGGGACAAGCCCAAGGTGTTTCTTGTGCAGGCCTGCAGAGGACCATACTCTGAAAGATATACAGGGCCCATGCGTGACTCATCTCTTTCACGTGGCACAAGGCCTCAGGAGGCTGACTTTTTGTTAGCTTACGCATCAGCTCCTGGATATACTTCTACAAGACTACCTACTGGTTCAATTTTCATTCAAGTGAGTCATGCAAAGATTTTATCATTGATAATGATGAAAGGGGTTCAATTGAAATATGAAACTTTTGTTGGAAATTTAACCAATTTGCTCCATGTTGAGGATTAATGACTTCAATATTTTAATTGAACGTCAAGTTTCTCTATTGTTTATGGTTCCCTACTTTGCCACTTCCTCAAAAGTCACCATCTTTGTTTGTCACCATCAAAAGTTTGCATCTTTTGTTGAAAAAGTAGCTTAAATTGGTAAAAATGAGAAATGGACTGGGGACACAACCTGAAGATTTACAGGAAAATGTCCCAAGAAAAATGTCGTGTAATACGATCATTCAACTAAGTTGAAATTGTAAATTGGCCACCGTAACGAATGTTGGCCAGTTTATAATTTCATATAACCAAATTACCTTGTTACCCCCACCGACGCAGCACCACAGTTTCTTTAGAAACTTTCAGCCTTTATTCATCTGGTCAATTATGTTTGATCTGTAACCTTCTTTAACACTTAAGTTCCACAATGAAAATCGACGTTAACAACGCCGGACTAATTCTACATTTTTTTTCCATGGCTCACCTAAGGCACTTATTGAAGTTTTCCGGAAGCGTAGTTACAAAAGCCACGTGGATGACATGCTTACAGAGGTCACCAACCTTACAATCGAGAGAAGCGCCAAGGAAGCGAAAAGATACAAAGACCATTTGACTCACGTTCCTACTGTCAGCAAATCTCTTAGGTTCAGGCTTTACCTTTAGCTGCAAAGAGTCTAAGGTTTTAGTTGCACAGGTGTCCCAAGCTTACGTCTCGAGAAAGAGCTTAAGTTTAGGGAACTTTCATTTTTTACGAGGTAGGGGGGGCTGGTGGGATTTATTGAACTTTCATGAATAAGTTGCATGACCCCCCTCAGTCGTTTAATGTTTTTCCATGACCCCCCCACCAATACAGGTAA